GTGTTTTCGAGGCTACGAAACCTAAGAAACCATAAGAGGCGAATGTATAGGCCAACAGACATTATGAGTTTATAAAATCAGCATAAATACGGTTCTAAATTTTAACAAATTCCTATGAATTATATACCAAAATATTCAGGAAAGCCCGGGGTTTTCAAGTCCACTTTTGTTTTTTTGACAGGTTCTGTTTTATTTCAAAGAGAGGCGATTTTCTAGCTTGACCCCGGTTATGTCATGCATTTTCTTTTGTAAAATACATGCAATAGCGTACATTCAACTCAAAAAGTACGGTGGTTTTTTTCAATAGAATTCAATCTAAAACATATGATACTGTCTGTGAATAGTTGAATTAACAGAATCCACTTCTGTGTTTTGCCTAAATAGTCATTATTTTGAGAAAAGATCCAAAAACCGTGTTTTTTAGAAATACTTTGTATGGGCTTACATGAGGGGGCGTAAGCTTGACCAATGTTAACAGATTTTTTTCTGATGAAACGCGCACCATAGAGTAACCTAAGGGATCAAAGAAACCCTTCGAAAAAAATTAAAAACATCCAAGAATTGCAGAAAACAGATTAAAGCATGCGAGTAAGAGTTAGTGACAAGGATTTATGAAACTTTTAAACCGTGCGATGAAATCAAAATGCGTAGAATTTGAATTCCGTAAGCAGGTTGATTTTTCTCTTAAATTTGGTGCCAATCATTCCCCTGCAATAAAGACTTATAATAATAAAGGCAGGGGTCACCGAATTGGTTTCCGAGATATTTTCCCGTAAAGAAGTGAATAATTTGTTTTCTTGATATGTTGCCCATCCAAGCATTCTTATGACGTCATCACGATGAGCATGCGCGCAATAAACTCATGCGTAGAAAGGTTGCGCGCGAACAATGCTCAACGTCCTTGAAGTGATTGTTGTAAAATACATTTAGTATTTAACTCCTGATGAGTGAGGCAGCTCTACCTCAACGAAACAGCGTTGTAATTAAAAGTACCGACGTTACTATTGAGGCTCTTGGTGCGACAACAATTTTCGAAAAAGGTGTATAGAGAGAGAGAGAGAGAGAGAGAGAGAGAGACAGACAGACAGACAGACACACCTTTATTTGAAAACGATAGTTCCATAAGTATAAAACTTCTTTACATGGAAGTCGTTATCGATTAATGAAATATAAATATATAATCCTAAAAAGTTGAAAAATATTAGAAATGATTTAAATAACAAAGAGAAAAATCCTACTGAGAACTGACAGCACGCCATCTCATCAGACGTTTTTTAAATTCATTCTTTGTTGGAGCAGATTTAACAAGAAAGAGAGAGAGAGAGAGAAAGAGAGAGAGAGAAGAAGAAATAAACCTGGAAAACACTATTTTGAAGCAGCATTTGCAAATTAAGACCAAATAATTTAATTACCTGCGAACAAGTAGCTAGACAGAATACCTCGTAGTTTAACAGTCTATTCGTTAGTGTTCAGKACGAGTGGAGATGAAGCACATTCGATGAAAGTCAGACAAAAATGCGCAGTGTTTGTGATAGTTCAGTAGTTTGACTTCTAGAAGCCGAAATTATTTGAAGAATGATACGTGTTAATAGAGTGCGGTGAGCAGAATTGGCAAATGTTTTTTCTCTTCATTGCCGTTTCAATTACAAAAAAAGTTATGAAATAAGTACTAAAATCAATAAAATAAACGAAGTTTTTAGATKTATTTTGAATAGATCGAAACCATTGACATCCATTTCAAACATTTCAAATGTATTTAAAAACGTGGTGATGTTTACTTATGTTCCATCTAAAAATAGCTGCGAATAATGATTTACGTCTAAACCAAATATAAGGAAATGATCTCAGTTCAATGAAAACCCGGTCATATCATATTTTCCTAAACATCTGCTCTCAGGTGAGATGGAAGCTTCTTCAACTAGCGCGCGTGTGCTCTTTAAGTGATCAACAACAAAAGGAAAGAGCGCGCGCGCACTAGTTAATGACACACAGGAACAGGCTAAGGCAAAATTTGAACTCATGCGGTTTTTAGAAATACCCCAACAGGGAATTTACATGGCGCGCGCGATATTAAGAAGTTTCCATCTCTTATTTTTGCTCTCTTGATTCGATTTATGTAAGCCTCGCCATTACGATCATTTTGAGAAGGGTCCATTCAGGTACACTTCAAGGATCAGACGTTCCTCCTATTGTATTCCTACCCTTTGGTCACTACTTATAATGTGTTCTCTTTGGTTTATTCTCTAAAATGTTGTGATAGGAAAATAATCTTTACCATAAATTTGTGATTCTTGCATATGTAGAAGCTCTCTTTGCGACAACTTTCGTAAGCGACCAACTCTGATCTAGTTACAACCCCGTTGAAGCTCCGTGCGCATTACTACCCAAACTTTGTAATACAACATATTGTACATATAACTTTTAAGACTATCATATTCACGTTGGCGACCAGCTCTAGTAACGACAAATTAATTCGACCCAAGCTCCCGAGGTGGTCGCTTAGCGGCAAGTTTCATCTGTATTTGCTTTTTTTTAGTTATGCAATTACTCAAATATTATACTCAGGAATGTCGTTTTTTCTTTTCGTTAGACAATCATAGCTTGGTAATTATACTCGATATTAGTCCTAGATTAAGAACTGTCATAAACTATAATAAATATAGCCTACAATATTTCATGTGGGTAGACAATGAATTAAACTTAGACTTCGCAAGATCCGTAAATGTGTCAGCGCTCTTTCGTCGAAGAACGATCTTAACACAGATCGGCTAAGTCATTTATTGTTCATTTTTTTCAACACATTTTAAGTGTTTGAAAGGATAAATAAATCCCGATGAAAGTAAAACTTAAAAAAATCCTTCCTAACTTTGCCAATAGCATTTCAATTTGAACGCTTAATAAAGCAGCAGTCATTCTGCTCTCTTGATAAGAATACGATATCGAATGTCGGGATGCAAAGGCAGGTCCATCCAGGTCAATTCCAGGATTAATTGCATTGACGTATGATACCGATATGTTAAATCGAACTGCCGCATGAAAAAATCGTGGATACCCTACTCTGAATTCTACTTGCACTCTTGAAATGTTGGGTTTCCTGTTCTCCTCTCGCTGGCAAAAGCGTTGCATTATGCGTATTAAGAGCTGTTGTCTGTAAATACCGACAATCAACGGACAGTCGCGAAAAATCGAATGTCCTTTTAATTCACTATTATAATCGAATCCCTTTTGGTGAACTATTTCAAAAATAGCATTGAAACTTTCCGCACAATTTTTATTTCCTTCAAAATCGAAGGTTGTCGAAATGCCCTGAATTAAGCATTAATGATTTATGCCAATATAGTGAATGAAACTTGATTATCATTGGTGTTCCAGAAGTTCCCTATTTAGACCCATATACTTGTCATACTATATAAAAGACCTTCATGTTACACTTAACTTTACCGAGGGTGAATTAGTTGTGTACGCTGATGATACAACATTGTTCATTATTGGTAACAATTGATGTTGAAGGGTTAATCGATGGCTGGATAACACTAGTAAATATAAAGACTTACATGGTGGCAAAAACAAAAACTGACTACATCTATTTCCGCGGGAGATCTGAAATTGTCGATACCATAAGTAAACTCATCATCATGTTTTTAAATCTCTTTGAAATGTTTGATATGGATGTCAATGGTTTTGATCTATGCAAAAGAAATATAAAAACTTTGTTTATTTTATTGATTTTACTTATATAATGAGTTAATAGTTTATCATACAGGGAAAGAAGTTTTCTCGTTTTTATTTTTTATCTAATATACGTAGGATAGTTGTATAGGAAAAAATTAATAAAATATAGATCAAACCCAACTTTGTCAGCAATTTCCTCGTTGTTACGCATGTTATGCATAGTTACGTAAGTAGATAGAAGCATAAAAAGTAAGTAATGAAGGGGAGACAGGTAAAGAAATGAAGCAAATGGGTGGAAATTGGTGGATGAGAAATTCATCTAGCAATTTTAGACACCCACGACAAATATGTGGATTAAGAAATATTTCAGCACTAGTAATGAAAATATTTCAAACACTAGTGATAAAAATAGTTTTTCATTAGGTTTCAAAAGCTATCCACAAAATGCCCCTCCATTGGTTGCATTGGAGCGTATGAATTATTAATGAGTTTGAGAATCATTATTCAATTTTAACTTTTTAGTTGTCATCCAACTATCATTTACATATAGCTGGAATATTTTCCTCTAAGATGCTCGCAATCTCATTGGTTGATTCGTGGTCACATGAAATCCAATCACTAAAACTGTTTCCCGTCAAGAGTTTCTGGGCAGACAACCTTGCAAAATCTATGACGTCAGAGGGTAACAGTTCGATCACTGTTACAAGGCAATGTTTACCGGTGACCTTCGTTGCACTTGAGCAGCACGTGATAGAAGGTGGCTCGACGATATGCATGACGTATGATTGTTGAAAGCTTTGCTATCTGACTCGTAAAATGGCAGCGTCTGGTTTCGATGATTTTCCCGAAAAGAGTTTGCTTTCGTATGGGGAGAAAAAATTTCAAAGATAAAAACTTTTCCACACAAGAGTTTGCTGAAATTTTGAAAGAAAAAACTGAAACGAACTGATTGAGTGTACCTTATATATCAGGATATTTTTGCAAGAATATAAAGCCGGTGGTCTGTACAAGAAGTTAGCCTAACAAGTAAAACTTGGTGTCTTTAGTGTGCTATATATATAACAAATCATTCAATGACTGATCCCTCGAGAAACCAGTCAGTTTTGTTTCCCTTGAATCTCAATGTTCAATCTTAAATCTCAACATCGAGATTCTTGGGAAACAAAGCTAACCGTTTCCCTCGGGACCAGTCATTAAGTGTTAAATATCACTTACACAGGACTCAATACTAAGTTTGGCAACCTCCAGTTCATCTAATGAAGATGTCAAGAATGTAAATGAAGCATATACTAATGAAAATTAAAGTTATGAGTGCGTACGATATCACCAATTGGCGAAGTGTATGTATAATGAGAACAAGATGGGTCCCAGACCGGAACTTGAGGCACACCACATTGAAAATAACAAGTTGTGGATTTGCCACCCTGAACGCTAACACGAAAACGCCTATCACTCAGATATGATCCAACTAACCACTCAAGCCCATTTACGCCAAACCTTGAAGACATTCTTTTTTAATAAAATTCCATGATTGAAAGCTGCGGCAAGATTTAGAAAAACAAGCCAAGAATTACGAGCACTGCTCGTCATTTACACGTAATATGTCATTGTGAACCCTTAAAGATGGTGCCTACTAATTGCGAACCATTTTTATTTTTTTCAAATTGTGCCAGTCATTTAAATCATCCAAGAGGCCACTGGAATCCGAAAAAGAAAATTGGGGGTACCCAAGCATCTAAACGAGATAATTGACGTTAAACACCGATGACGTAAGCACTTTTTTACGCAAGGGGGAAAAATCATATTACGTCATATTACGGGAAAACATCAAGTTGTTTAGATCGATTTTATCTGAAACTTGTTTCAAAGTAAACGACTATTTGTGCTCTTTATATCAAATATATAAACTTTTATGTATCATATAAGAAACCATTTTTTAAAYCAAATTTTGCCTTCAAAAGTGTAAAATATGGTTCTGAAGAGATGCTACATTTCTTGCTTACATTTGCATCCAAAACCATTTTTATTTTAAAAATTCTATTATAAGAAATAATTTAACTATTTCTGTTACATTTTGGATGAAAAAAATGGGGGGTAMCCACGCGTTTTAAAAAGTTATGAGTTTTTAAAATATTTTTTGAGGATAAATCGGTTGCTAAAAGCGTGACAAGCGTGACGCGGCGTTACGAAACAGCGTGACGCTCTGTTTTTGGGGGGTTTGCAGCAGCTCCTTCATCTCTTCGTGGTTTTACAAGCAGAAGGAAAACTGAAAAAAGCGATATTTCAAGCCTTCAAAGAACCAGAAAACTTATTCAATTCGAAGAACAATAAGAAATAATTATTTCCTGTGTAGAAGAAAAGATTTCCTTAAGCAAATGGTAGGAAATTTTTTTTTGAAGTCGGAAAAAGAACGGCTTTTCATGAATGTTTCACGGCAGTCGTGCATGCAAAGCAAGAACCAGGCAAAAACTTTCGTAAAATACAAACCTACATTTAGTTTAACTTCACAAGTCCAAGAGACAGATTTAATAAATCAAAATAATRATTTTCTTTGTCAGTATGCTCTTTGCGTGAACGTTTTGGAATCTACTTTTTAGTGAATGAAAGACAGTTTATCTGGTAAATACGAGGTCTTCCAACGACAAAAGTTTATTTTATGTACTTGTACTCGCAGGAAAAGCTAAATGAATGGCTGATATTTGGTGTAATGTGTAATTCCTTTTCAATTTTCATTTAACTTTAAAACAAACTAAGCTTATCTGTATGGAAATATTGAAAAAGTTATTTTATTATTCCCCGATCCAAGGCCATCGAAACTGCCTTTTCTAGAAAGTAAAAACATATGATTTTTCGCCAAAAACACCTGAATTCTTGAAAATGACTCTGTGATACACCTTTGACTACATAAATAATAGTTATTGCCGTTGTTCTTGGTCTTAATTTTTTCCAAGGCCGACGTTTTCTGTACTTTTGAGTGTTTTGCTTTTGAAACCTGCGGGAATCCCTCGATGCAGATGCGCAGTAAGTGTGCGCGCTGACAATAGTAGGCACCGTCCTTAATGATTGGTCTTATTATTGCCTCCTTTAAATCAGATGGCATGAGCTGTACTGAGTGAAAGGTTTACAATCTTAGTGATGGTAGGAAGGAGAAGATCAAAAATTGTTTTTTAAGATCATACCTGGCACAGGGTCACATGAATTGGAGACTAAGGAAAAAATAAGCTTAGAAAGATTGTCAGAGGAAATTTCATTAAGAGATTCGAAATAACTGTCAAGTGTGACAGCAACAGTGCCAGTGACAGGTTGAACATTACTAACACATGCATCATTGTCAAAACTAGCCTGGATAACCTAGTCTTGTCATCAAAAACGTCAGCGAAAGAATTCTTCGATTGCACGTTACGTCATCGCGGCCATGTTGGTGCCATTTAACAAAAGATTTCTCATTAGCACCCAGCCTTGCTTTTGTCTTTTGACTCTCTTGGGAATACTTGCAATCCATCAATTGGCGAGTTGATCCGAAAGGAACACGAAGGAAAAAGTTTATCTACATTCTTTTTAATCAATTTATCAAAGGTGGAAAAAAGGACCCTCTGATTAGACTGGTTTTCAGAGATAACATACAGATAACATAACATACAAACAGAAATATACCTGACTAACACACTGAACACATTCAAATATTTAAAAATTGAAGAGCAGGTGACGATAAAAGTATCTTCCACATGAAAGTTAAAATCTCCTACCAAAAGAAGCTAAGGGTGTTAGAGAACCCCGGAAAGGTTTAGGCATCAAAGGACTACACTAAACCATGCAGCAGAAATTGAAAGTCACCAATACACATTATTTCTCAATTGACACGGTTTTCTTTGTTGTTCACAGGGCTTTATTTTTGTTATAACCCTCATTATAAATGCGAGGTCAATATATAGTTATTAACCCGGTTAATAACTATGTATAGACCGTTCGCATTTATAATGAGCAACATTTGATAGAAAACCTTCTCAATTGATAAATAAAATACTTAATTACCTCGAACGTCGGCAATAAGCCTATACATCCCTCGGGCCTGCGGCCCTCGGGATGTATATGGCTTATTGCCTCCGTTCGAGGTAATTAACTCTTACTGTTAACACAGGCTAGCAAACTTTATCAAACTTTGAAACTTCTTATGAAGAAACTCCAATAACATGCAAATCACCTTTTTATTTGCGTATTAAGAAACTCTGATAACTTGCAAATACCCCATTATCTGTGGGCTAGAAAATCAAAGTCGATGAACTTATCGAGAAAATTTTTGTGAGCCGAACACATTCTCACCAGCAAACTCACTTAACCCGGTCAGCAGTTAGAAAATATTGCTGGACCAGCAAACTCAAAAACTTTCGTTAGTTCACGTATAGAAAGACAGTAACCTGTTCTGTAAATATCTATTTAAACTAAGCGTTATCATTCGTTTGACTTCGTAAGCCAGTATGTTTTTCGTTTTTCGTTCTTTTTTTCTCCATTAGTTTCCTTATTAGTAACTCGCTTGCACACAATATCGTTCATCTTTTTTTTCTAGGTGATGCTAGATAAACAGACACAAAAAGATCCCCTGACTGGGTTTTACTTTGAATGTATAATTGAATTGACCTTGTTCCTTGTTTTACTAATTTTTAAAAAGGTAGATTAATAATCGACCGTTTCAATAGCTATCAGCTCATTTCGTGGTCGGAATCGATTGGATAAAGCAAGGGCGGATCCAGCCAAAATTTTAGGGGAGGGGGGGGGGAGCTAATTGAGTTTCTTCCATCAACACAACGGAAAACAATAAAAACAGCATCTAATTCTTCAGTTTTGTTTTGTTTTGTTTCTTTTCTGCTGAAGGGGGAGGGGATGGGGATTCAGCCTCCCTTTGCGCACCCCCTCCCCTTCACCCTGGATCTGTCCTTGTAAAGTACAGCACAATCGGTTCGTTTATTATTCAGATAGCGATGCCGTCATTTGTAACTCGAGTCGTATTGATCTTGGCAATCAACTCATCAGAAAAAATCTGTTCTGCTTCGCCCTATGTAAGGGAATCCGGAATCCGGAATCCACGAAATTTTAGGCTTTGGAATCCGGAATCCAGCACTCTGGAATCTGGAATCTGGAATCCAGGCCTTCGAATCCGCAATCCAGTCTATAATAGAATCCGGAATCCACCCTTTTGGAATCCGGAATCCACTACTTTGAAATTCAAAGTCTACACTCAACTGCTATCACCTCGACCTGGACGGAACCGATGTAGCCCCTCCCCCACTGTGTAATATCTCCATCAAGAATATCTGTCATCAGATGCTGATTTCATTGATAGACGGTTCTACTTATAATGGCAAGTATATCAAAAATAATTTTCAGAGAAAGTAAATTGAGATTAAGAAAATTAACGATATGGAATCCGGAATCCGCAATACAAAAGTTTTTGAATCCGGAATCCGTAATCCAGAGTCTCGGAATCCGGAATCCAGCGCTTGGAATCCGGAATCCACCATAAGTCCGGATTCCCTTACATGAGGCGATCTGCTAAAACTTTTCTCTAGCTTTTTAAATCTCTTGTTATTTCACTTTCTGCTGGCCTCATTGTGAACCTCCTAGATTTCCGATTGATTCTGTACCAATTTTGCTCTCTTCATTTGAGAGAATCAGATAACTAGCTAAACTAAAAATATATTTAATTGAATAAGTTAGACTCCCGTTCTCTTTATCAATAATGATTGAATATAATAATACTTTTAGCTTTGGCTTGGAACATTTTAATAGCATACAGATTATTTTTTTTTAAATTACCCAAACCCTTCTGGCAGAAGTAAGCGACCACTCAGTGGAGGTCACAGCGGCGTGAAATGGTAATATTAAATACACATGTAATTGTAGCGGTGTACCCCCTAAACATATAATATATATAATATGCCCATCACTTGATCAATAACCTCAAGTATAGGACACAAGAGGGCAGATCAAACAAATATCATATGCCCATCATTTGATCAATAACCTCAAGTATAGGACACAGGAGAGCAGATCAAACAAATATCATATGCCCATCACTTGATCGATAACCCTAGTATAGGACACAGGAGGGCAGATCAAACAAATATCATATGCCCATCACTTGATCGATAACCTCTAGTATAGGACACAAGAGAGCAGATCAAACAAATATCATATGCTCAGGTGTTCATCAAAGAGAGATCAATTTCATTAGGTTCAGACGTACGTAAATCACAATTGGCAGCTATTTTGATAATTCTAGTCAAGCTTTAAACAAAACATCATCATGTTTATCAAGATATCTTTAAAATGTTTCAGGTGCATGGTTTCTATAAGCAAATTAAATTCATCTAAATACCTCGTTTGGTTGACTGATTTTACTTTTTCATTACTTTCTTCAAAGGGAGATGAAAAGAAAAAAGTGCGTTATTGTTTATGTGTTTTGATCATTTGCCAATTCTGCTCACAGCACTATTAACGTCGTATCATACTTCAAATAAATTCAGCTTCTAGTAGTTAAATTATCGAAAAGACTGCGCATTTTTCTCAGACTTTCATCGGATACACTTGGTCCCCAGTTGTACCGAACACTGACCAATAAACTATTAGGTATTCTGTCTAGCTACCCGTTCATAGGTAAGTACATCATTTGCTCATAATTTGCAAGTGCTGTTTTAAAATAGTGTTGTCCAGGATTCTTTTATTTTCCTTATTAATATCAAGTCTATGTTATTTACTTTTTGTTTGTTCGCGTATGTGCTATCATTTCGTTAGCCATCTGTTCGGATATTTCTTCTCTAAGTAAAACATACAATTTGATTAATTCAAAACAATCCGCTATAATAATCTTCAATATTTTTAATCAAAAATCGCACTTCAACGCAGTTTAAATACCAGTTTCATAATGTGCTTTAAAGTGCTAATTCGTTATTTTTTACTAACCTCTAGATCTGTACTATTTGATATGTAACCAGGGACTGAAAAAGTCTTCATATCCACAAAAGGCATGAATCACAAGTGCGTCGTTCGGACATTGGCTACAGTTGCTATTTTATTCTTGGTTGTGAAAGAAAGCAAAGAGAGTGACCTAGACCCCTCGGAGTAAGTTAATTCGTGGTATCTTTTGTACTAATGTGGGCTCCATATTGTTTTTGTTTGCGCGTGCGCCAAGTTGTGCACGAGCATGCAGTATCAGAACTAGAAGAATTTTTATTTTGAAGGCGTCACGAAAAGTCGGTTGCAGCGTTATTAAAAAATTAAAAACTCGAAATCTACGTGGTCAAATATCTTCAAATTTTTACAGTTTTTTCTTCGTAGAATGATAAGGCAACTGACGCAATATAGAAAAATATTTGGACTACAGAAAACTTTTTATCTTGAAAAATCGATATTTCTTTAATATCTTAGTTTCTGTATATATGTGGTTACGATTTTAATAAAACGTTGTCATATAATAGATAACAAAACAAACTTTCGTATTACGCAATCTAAAAGAGATTGACCACGGGAAACTCGAGATTTTAATTTTTTAATGGCAAAAAGCACCCCGTTTTTGGCCAACGTGTCGCTGCTATGATAACTATTCACGTGATCATTTTCACGAAAAATGATTCCTAAACTCATAATCTTTAATATGGTTAGCGTATCAGATATCAAGATATA